TAGAGTTCATCAGGCCCTACACAGTAGTGCAAGAGACTTCAGTGTGAGGAAACTCAAGCCACTCACCAGATGAGCAGCTGGAAGTAGGAGCAGTATAGTGAGGTCAGTGGATAAAGAAGGACACTCGATAAAATCTGACACATATTCACAATTAAGATCTGAAACTCAGTATCTAGTGATCCCTCCACTTCTGAGTTGAGGGGTGCATCTGTCAAGCTGGTGTGCCAAAAGCCCGGAGCAAATACCGCACACAGCAGAGGAAGGTTTGCAATGGTCCTTCTAAGAGTTAGGGGTAAAACGAAGGTGCTCAGAGCCTGCTTTAGCACACCAGCAGTCCCAGGGCTGCTCTGGAGCAAGCTCAGCCTGGAGCAAACCAGCAATCCTTCCTTCCCTCTGAGGTATGGGCCTGAGTGTATCTTTCCTTCCCTTCGGTCTGCATTTGATCTTCCCAAAACTAGACAGCCCATCTGGCTTCTGCTGACACCAATAAAGCTAGAGCTGTTGAACACAACAACATGAAAACGTCTACTTGCCTGTCTGAGGCTGAAAGGTGAAGGGACTGACATCTTGCAAGGGCATGGGTTCTGCCCCACGTTGGACAGTAACCTGGAAATGCGAAGCTGTGCCTACCCAAGGGCCTCCGGCAATGCTGCTCTGTGCACAGAGCACAGACCCTCGGCACTGTGACAAGGGTACCCCGGATACACCACTAGTCCTCCAGTGGACAGGGCATGTGGTTACCCTTAGGAGAGATCCAAAGGGGAGTGGCTGTGTGTGTGGGTGTGAGAGAGAGAGAGAGAGAGAGACAGAGAGAGAGACAGAGAGAGAGACAGAGAGACAGAGAATAATAGAAGAGCCTACACAGAGTGAAGTATGTAGAGGAGTTTGCTGTTAACTCATTTGAATGTTGGAAATATTTCATAATAAGAACAAATGAATGGGTCCACAGACTTGAGCCAAACAAATCCACTTATATTCTCATGCCTGATCAGCACACACTGAAGCTGGCTGCCTACAGAGAATGCTAACATTTGAGTTCAGATGCCGTGAGTTCTATGGAGACCCACGCACAGCTTTTGCTCACACCTGGCATGCTGAAGGAAGTCTGATGACCCAGTTAATTGCAGCAGCACAGTTGTGGTGTATGGTTAGCATGCCTCAGTCTCTTGGTGCCTCCCAGGAGCTATCCACTGGGAAATCATCCCTCAAGCACACACCCTCCTGGGATGGGCAGCTCTGGCACTCACCTGCAGACAGGTATGCAGCGGGGAAACCTAAAGAAGGGCAGGGGCTTTCTTGGCCACCTTGTCCATCAGAGCACAAGCAGAGCAGACATGGAAGCCACAAGTAAGAGGCAGTTGGAGCAAGAGACTAGAACAGAACAGGTCCCGTAGCCCGGTGAGGTCTGTGGAAGAGATGGGAAGGGCCTCCTGGAGCCTGCATCTCTGGTCTTGCACGTGTAGCCTCTGGTGTGCAGCTGACCTTCACAGGGTCAGCTCTACGATGGGCCACAACCAGATCCTTCTCCCACTGCTCTTCAAGCTCAACTACATCCTTGCATTGAGCCCAAGCAAAATACAAGAAGGAAATGAACAAAACACAAGATTCCAAAAGCCCCAAGGCAGGCTCTCGGCCTCCCCCCCCCCCCCAAGACCTGGCCTTCCATCGCTTGCTTGCCTCCTGACAGCAGTCTTGGGTGGTATCCCAGGGCGCTTGTCTGGTCTCCCCACTGTTTCAGGACAACCCAATCCTGTGGAGGACACCTGCTGCCCAGGCTCCTGCTCAGTGCTCAACTGGAAAGGAAGTTCCCCCTTCCACAGCTTATCAGAAGTGAAGAGCTCTGGTTCGGGCCACGCCCTCTCCATAGCTGTTTTCACATTTCTACACCTGGCATGCTGACAGACAGCAAAATCATTTAACAGGGCTTTAAAGCAACCTGTAGGCAAGGGAGGGGGGTAGGGGAGGGGGCAATGCCCTGGGATAGGAGGAATAGCCTCTGCTTCCCTGTGGGCAGATGTCTCACTTCTTAGGAAACCTTGACTGCAATTATACCCAGACTCCAACCCTTCATACTGGATGGAAGAACTCACAACCCCCACAGACACCACACACAGTGACAGGGCTCCAGCAGCAGCTTCTCTGGCTCCACGTGAGGACCTGCACTACCTTTCCCATGAGACATCTTTGTTCCGCCTCTGAGGTCTACTCTGCCTTGCCTTGCCAAGGGAAAGTTAACTTTTTGGAAGGGTTGATTTCCTGACAGGATGGTAAATTATCCATACACTACCCTTTGGGACAGGCATCACAGTATTTTCTCTAACATCCATGATTTTCAACCCATCCACATGCAAATCCACTGTTTCATATGCTGTACACTGTTGTGAAACCAACCCCGTGACAGTAATGGAGCATAGCTAAGGGACCACGGTGGCAACCAAACGGAGACCAGCGCTGCACAGCTTCCAGTTTTCTGTACCAAAGACCAGTATTACAACACCTTATCCGCTACAAGGCTCAGTGGTCTCCCAACACTTTGATACTTTTGGGTGCCCAAAGCAAAATCACCACCAAAGTTTTTCCCTTGGGTGGAGCATCTCACCACCAGCCCGGCGGTTCTTCTCTGTTCCAGGTGTCCCCTGTCCCTCTCGCTCTCGTCCTGGGGAGAGGGGGCTGCCAGAAAGCATGCTCCTCATTTTCCAGCACCCCCCACCCCAGCCCCATGCTGTGGTGCCAGGGTTACTGTACCACATTTTCCATCTTCTCAGTCCCATTTGCTAGCATCTTCCAGAAATTCTCCAGTGTGCTGTCCACCACCACCATCATATCCCTGTTTTCCCAGTCTTTTCTCACAACCCCAAGGCCCTGGATTCCCTCCCTAGCAACACAAACAAGTATGGAAGTACATAAAAGGAGTTTAGACCCTATCTCCAGTCACCTCTGTCCAGGCTCTCGTTAAAGCCAGATTTCACAATAGCTTAGTTTTATCACAGGCCATCATTATTTATGACCCTGAACAATTATTTCAATAAACTATAGTAATTAATTCAACAGGCTTTATAAGGAGTTCATTATGAAATTCTTTAAAAATTCAGTTTACAGACTGTAGAATTAAAGTGTGACATAGAACTTGAAGTTGCAAGCAGACAATACAACACACATGAAAATAGTTATTTCTACTAGAATTTAGCAGCAGAAACCACTAACACAATTCTAAAAGAACACTTTTGTGGAGAGCAGGAAGGGAAGCTTCTCCAGCAGCTCAGCTCCACCTGCTCAGTTTTATGACGTGTATGAGCTCCCAGCACTGAATTCATCATTTTCCTCACCTGTTCTCATCAGATACTCCTAAATGATAGTGGATATCAAAGAATCATGTCTTTGAAGATTCTGATATTGCTTGTATTTTGATCATTTCAGCAATGAAAAATAGCTGTTAAAAATTTGTACTGTACAACCAATGTCATTTAGGTATCTCTGCAGTACAGCAACTATTCTTTTTTTTTTTCGTTGGTCGTGGGACCTGAACTCTGGGCCTGGGCACTGTCCCTCATCTCTTCAACTTAAGGCTAGCGTTCTACCACTTGAGCCACAGTGCCACTTCTCGCTTTTTCTGCTTATGTGGTGCTGAGGAATCGAACCCAGGGCCTCATGCATGCAAGGTAAGCACTCTACCACTGAGCCACCTTCCCAGCCCCAATGGCTCTATTCTTATGCTAGGCATTCATGGCTACTGTCTGGGCCTGCCCTTATTCACCAAGTTTTCTCGCACCACACCCTGCAGTGTGAATCTGTTACACTAAGCTAGACGATACGCTCACACTTCCAGGAGCATCATTCTTTTTATGCTTTTAACCCCCTGACAGAATGTCCTTTCCTCTTCTTACCATCTATCTAAACCTCACATAACTCTACAACCATTCAAAAGAAAATAATACTTCTAAAGAAATAAAAAGTAGCAATCACTTCATGTCCAAAAATATCAGCTATATTAGAATGTCTAAAAATTAAAGGATAACAAAGCTCGAAGAAAACATACACAAATATTTGCACACACAGGAGTCCAAGTATAAAATCAATGGAAGAAGTTATAAAGAAATGGTCACTTTTCTTTAGAAAAACATGCTTTCATACATGAACAATCTGAAATGACACGTAATAAAATGAACTATTCTAGAAACTACATGGGAAGGCACGTTCTGACAAGGAGACGTCTTCTGACAGGAAGACAGCTTAGTTCCTCTCCAAATGTCTCAGCAAACACCCAAGTACTGCTTACACCTAGCACAACTTATTTGCCAAACATGTCTCAAAAATAATCCTATGTTTCTTTAGGGTTTCTGCTTGTTTTAATTGCTTGATGCTATGCATTCCTAGTGTTTTAAATGCCAGACTTTATTCTATTTGTTCAAATGCTTTTACTGCACCCCAACCACATACCAGTGGCAGGCTGGATACTAAGAAAATACTGGTGCTAAGATCATTGGGATGCCTACGCCCATCATAGAACTAACGCCCAGTGGAAGAACATGAATGAATCCTGCAAACTGTGGCTAAAATGATAAGGGCACAGGACACTGTGTAAACATATACCTGTAAAAAAAAACTATTGCATCCATTTAAACTCTGAGCGCCTTTAACGGCAGAAGATGCATCTTAAATACTTTTGTACCTTAGTGCATTTTGGACATGTGCATCTGAAGCTACCCTTATTAAGTGGCCTTCTTTTTTCAATGATGCACAGGAACCAGCTTTAGGATACTCTTCACTTTGGGATACTTGAAGAGAAACTTTAAGTAGACATATTTTTATTCTTAAACAACTTAAAGAATTTTTACCTAATTTAAAAGGTGATATCCTGACCAATATGGTCATATTTAGCGGTAGGATGCTAACAAATTCAATTCTTAAAAAAAAAAAAGGCTATTTGCAATATTTGCATAGAAAGTGGTGTTTTCACTAACAGCCAATGGTCTGAATAGACCATGAAGAAGTGAGTGTTCTCACACTGTGTATCCTGGAAGCTTGTTTATTACTAATTCGCAGATGTCTCTGTATTGCTTGGAAGTGTTCAGTGAACAAACATCATCATCTTCAAAGTGATCAGATGAACTGCTCTCCAGGTTCTTGAGTTGGAGTTCTGACAAATTAGATGGCAGATAGGAACTCACCTGTGACGTCCGGGGTGACTGGCTTCTATCTACAGACTGGCAACCAGCCCCTGCTATATGTCTAATGGAGATGTCCTGACCTGTCTTTACACTCTTGGAATTACACAGACTAGTTTGATCTATGTGGTGTCTGTTCTTCTTAGTCCAGGATGATGAAGATAAATCATTGGAAGAGATGCTTGACACATCCTCTACGCTTTTATCTGGAGTCTTAACATGAGATCTGCTGTGTGAGGGCACTGGTGACCCAGCTGAAAAGGGTGGACTGAGCAGAGAACTCTTCTCACTGCTACTTTTTCTCAGGGACAATCTTGCTTCACTAGACTTACTTGGACAGACACTATGTTTCTGACTTGTTGCCCCTGCACTGCTATAATCGTGGGCTTGCCAACTTTTGCTGGTGTCCTCCGGGGTACAGAAATCTTCAGAATAGCAAGGGCTGGTGAAGTCATCTGAGGACTCAGGCTCTAAGATGTTTTCACAGCAGTTATTTTTACTCCGTGTATTGTCAGTCAAACCAGCACTGAGAGTTTTAGTGTCTGTGGTTCTGACCTGCCCATGATTTATTTCCCTACCTACAATTTGGCCAATAGCATCCTGTGGGAAAACACATGGGCTCTGGCCTTCCATGTCCAATTTTCCTCCCCAAGTGCTTGTGTGTCTGGGTCTTTCTGAAGTAATGGAATCCACAGGGCTCACAGTCGTTCCCCAGGGGCCTCTCCTGTAGTCACCACTGTGCACCAGTCCCAAGGGAACACTGCCTTTCCTGTGGTCACCACTGTGGACCGGTCCCAAGGGAGCACTTCCTCTCTTGTGATCACCACTCTCGACTGGTCCCAAGAGAACACTGCCTCTGCTGTGATCACCACTGTCGACTAGTCCCAGGGGAGCACTGCCTCTCCTGTGGTCACCACTGTCGATGGTGGCATTGTCAGCTGCTCCTCTCTGTTCCCGCTGGGCAGTGCTGGGCTCACCAGGAACTCTCCCGACTGACCTGGAGGCATCACTGCTCTCAACCGAAGAACTACCAGGAGGTAAATGCCTCTCTTTGGGCACTGTGTGCATCATCCTCTGACTTGGCTCCGCAAGGCTTAAGGACTTGACCTGGCCTGATGGAATCCTGACTTGGGTGCCCCAGGTTTGCGCATGCCTTTTCCGGTACTGCTCTCTCTTCTCATGGACCATCAGCATGCCGGGGTTTGTCTGCCGCAAACGCAGTCGCAGGGTGTTTGTCAGGCCGTACAGCAGCCTCCCCCCGGCGCCTCTTCTGGGGAGGCCCCCGCTGCTCTTCTCAAGCTCTCTTCCCTTCTTCAAGCTTTCACCCAGGCTCTTTGGGCACTGCGGACTTGTGGTCTTTTCCTGTCTGCCCATGGAACTGGCCTCCTTCTGGTCCGGCTGAGGCTGGCTGGGTTTGGGGTGCGGCGCCTTCTCATCCATCCGGTACAGCCAGGCCAGGTGCGGGTGCACCTGGGTGGGGCTGGCCACAGGCCGGTTGTACAGCACCGACAGCTCGATCAACAAGGCGTTCAGCAAAGGCAGCTGCCTCAGGGTGTCGAAGGCGGCATGCTCGCTGGGCGGGCGGTCCCCCTGGTCCCGCACCCCAGGGGCGGCCGCCGGCAACGGAGGCCCCTGAGGCCCCTCCGCACTCACGTGGCCCTGGGGACGTGGGGGCCAGGGTGGGTCTGCAGGCCGGGCTTCGGGAAGAGTACCCTCGGGCGGGGCAGCTCCACCCGGGGGCTCCATGGTGATCTCGGCCTGCGCAGGAGGCGCTCTTCCCCGGGTCTGGCGGGTGTAATATAGCGGAGGGGGGCAAAACGTGTTGGCTGCGAACTCCAGCTCCACGCCTTGGGGACTGGGCGGGCTGGCGGCCCGGAGGAGGGGCCTCTCGGGGCCGGCCTTCCCCGGCCCGCCCGGGGCGCTCACGGGCTGGGCCGGCGGGGCGGGCTTGGGGGGCTCAGGCGGGTGCCCCGGATCCAGGGTGGGCTTGGGGGGCTCGGGCAGGGTCCCCGGGTCCAGGTGGGGGTCGGGGAGCTCGGGAGGGAGCCCCGGATCCATGAGGGATTTGGGGGGCTCGGGCTCCGAGGCGGGCTTGGGGGGCTCGGCTCCGAGGTCCCGGAGGCGGTAGAAGAGCGCCAGGTCCCCGACGCGCCGGCCGTCGGCACTGCGCAGGGCGAACGTCCCTCTCCGGCCCTGGGGCGCGGACGCGGCCAGCGGGATGTCGCA